GGAAAGAGAGAACATGTGAATGCACCCCTCAACGGGGCCTGGTCATGTCACAATTCTTGTTTCTCCAATTCTGGATCTCCTGTGCATGGACATGTCAAATGTGTTTTTCTAGCTACCAGAGCCAGGACTTGAACTCTTGTCAGCCATAAGTGATCTGGCTTCCTCGGAGCAGTGCTTAGTTTCTGCACTATGGAGCCAACCCTTAAGGAGGAACTTAAAAGCCAGTTTTACATTCTCGAAAATAACTTTAATTAATAAAAAAAATTAGGAGTGATTTTAATTAGGACATGTCAGAAGTCTTCTTTATTGAGAATACTCTGGCAGTTATGTACGGGGTGGCTGGAGTAGTGCAAATAGCCAAACAGTGACATGAAGAAGCTTAGTGGAATACGCCAGGACCTTAGGTATATTGCCTTTCTCAGATCAACTTTTTCGCAAAGAGTCAATACTTACACATAATCCCCAGCGTCACCAGTCCAGCAACCAGCCCCATGCATGAGACCAGCAGAACCAAAGCCGTCACTCGCCACACAGAGGAAGAAGCAGGATGCACTGTAGACATACAATAAAAACGTCAAGGAGCCGGCAGAGTGGCGTAGCACTGGGGCAGTGTCACCCCTGCTTCTGCCTCTGAGCTCGCTCCAAGTAACATAAGCAGCCTCGCTGGCAGGTCTCGCCTGCTTCCCTTGGAGATCATCAGCAGTAAGCATGGCCCATTTCTATACCACTCGTTCAAACCCATCTCCAATGGACTTTCCTTCTCCAAGTCAAAATGTATCTGGCAGTTAAGGCCTCGTGCCCTTGTCTTTGTTTTGTTTTGCTTTAAAAAGCAACAGCTGGAGAATCACACCCATTTGCTGACCTTAGAAAACAGAGTTTCCAAACATTCTCTCCCCTTAGCTCCTTGGTTTGACACCCTCTAGCATGAAACTCTAAGAGCCTTAGTACTTTTCTCTGCTTGGATCTGTGCAGTTTATACTCTAAATAAATCTATGTGAGCCTGCATAGACCCTGCTCAAATGCTGGAGAGAAGATTACATCATTTCACTAGCAGAAAAAAAGACAAGAGGCAGCTAGGCATTTTCAGAATCATCAGACTGATCTCCTTGCTTTGTGTAAGGCAATAAAGCTGCACTTTCCTTCATCTCAAAAAAAAAAAAAAAAAGGAAAGAAAGAAAGAAAGAAAGAAAAGCTAGGACCGACTCATTTCATGAATTAATTTCCAAATCATTGGCTTATGGTGTTCTTACCTGAGGGGAAAGCTGGTTTTCGAGATTTAACATTCAGGGTGACGTATCCATCTTCATCCTGCATGGCTTCCCTTAGACTGCAAGTGAACTCAGAACTCAATGATTTTGCAGAATGCAATGTCCACTCTTAGAACTTCAATATCCACCAGTGTGTAATCCTCCTTCTCTGGCAGGGTATAACCATGTGAGTTGGGTTGTGTACTTTTTTGTCTTTTGTTTTCCAGGAAGCCCTTTCATGGCTGCTCAGAGATACATAGCATAAAAACACAAAAATAATAATAACTTGTGGTAAAGGAATAGATATAGCATTTGTTTCCTGCTTCCTATCTTCAGCTCTGAGTGAAGGTTTATTCCATCCTGTGTGTCCTTTCAAAGAACAAAAGTTCAGCCTTCATCTTCACTCCCGCAGAGTCTAAAGTATTTTGTTTAAACGATCTGATTTCTGTTACAAATTCATGAATAAAAACACCAGAGATACATAGTTTTTCCCATGGTGAGCAGTAAGCCTAATGTAATTCGATCTAATATAGTTCTAAATGTTGCATGGCCTTATGTTGGAAGGGACTATTGCTACTAACAACCTAAAATTAGTCCAAATCCTTATATTTTTTATGAATTTATTTTTAGAAAATTTGAAAACTCCACATGAGTCAGGCTTCATATTCCTTAGGTTTAGTCGTGAAAAGGAAACAAACAAATAAATGAAATAATAGAAAGTCAGTAACTTGCTGTATTGTTCTTCAGTCATGTTTACACTTTATTTAATTCTTTGAGAGGTTTTTGCTATAGGGTGCATGTGCTCGCCAGAAAGACAGAGAGAGACAGAGAGACAGAAAGCGAGAAATCACCCCCCAGGGGGATGGCCACGCCGCAATCCCTTCTCCTCCATTTTCCTCTTGGGATCTTGGGCACGCATGCACATGCGCCTGGCGTGAGTTTTAAGCCACCGGGTCCGGGACTTGAACCACGGTCGACTACATGGGAGTTCAGCGACATAGCCATTACACTAACTGCTGGTCCCCATGTTTACACTTTAATGTCCATTTCCAGAAATGAAAAAAATCTTAGTTCAAGGAAATCATTTAATTTCAAGTATAGTGATGCTTACATGAAAACCTATTTGGGGGACATTTGGGAATTAAATCACTTTCACATCACTATATAATACGTATTCCACACGTTTAACTTTATGAAATTTACTTTTAAACTATTATTTTAGTACATTGAAGATATTGATAAGAATAGCCACATAAAGCTAGGTGTTGTGTTCATTGTAGGACTATCGGTGAGGATGTTTTCTATTTTTCTTTAAGGTAGCTTTTTTTTTTCCCTAGAGGCTGCATGTACTGAGAGAGAGAGAGAGAAAGAGAGAGAGAGAGGGAGGGAGAGAGAGAGAGAAGGAAAGTGACAAAGCACCTGCTATGAGTGGTGGTCTTGCCATAATCCCTTCTCCATTTTTCCCTTTTTTGGGGGATTTTGGGCACACACACACACACACGTGCTGAGTCTAGAGCTCAAACCACATGTCAGCCATGTAGGATCCAGCTACCTTAACCACCACACCACCAGCTGACCCAAAGTAGACCCCATGTGTATGTGTATGTGTATAAACATAGATATATCTTCTTATATACCAGAGGGTTTGTGTGCAAGCCTAAGAGAGACAGA